TTGGATCGACTTGAATTGTCGCTAGCAATGTGAGATACTTTTGCTKTACGTTATTATTATAACTGAGCTATACATTTTGCTCATTTTCCAGATGGAGACGACATGGCGCTTTCAAATAAATCAAAGAGAAACTCAAAGCATCATAAGAATGAAGAGAAAATGCCTTTAGGAGAGCATGACGAGCTGGCAATGTCGTAATATCCCTAGTATTGATAACATAATGTATTTTCATAGGCTAGTCGAAGTGGACGGTATTAGTGCTCTGAAAAAATACCGAATTCATTTTCCCAATGTAGAAATAATGTTAAAGTACAACAATTTAAGCAAATAGTGTTCAGTAGCGCTTAAYAGTGTTGACTAGACAATGTACACGAAGAAGTAAGAGTGAAGTCAAAACACCCGTGAAATAGACATTACACTAAATACACCTTAGTACGCTCTAAATGCACTGTTTTCTTTTGTGTTTATTTGACTATTGCAATTTTTATTAATTAGTGTTTGTTTCACGGGTTTAATCACTTCATTCAAGATACTTCAGTAGCACTTAGCACTTATTACCTAGAGTGAAGTAAAAAAACTCAGTAAAATAGATATTAAACTTAAACACCTTTGTACGCACTAATTGCATTTTCTTTTGTGTCTTTTTGAATATTACACTGTAATAATAGTCCAATTTTGTTTTGCGGATTGATTGACTTCACTCTAGTAAACTATTTCATGCTTTTAGCACTATTTTAAGGTAATTAGTATTTGTAGAACCGCAAGATGCATGCAACTTGTGTGTTGTTATTTCGCCGCTCGTCTTGCTATCTTGACGTTTACTAAACGCCATTGATATTTCTTATTGTAGTAAGTGTATTTCTTTAGTTTATGCTTTTTAGTTGCTGTGATGATTGTTTTGGATGTTTTTGCTCGGTAATTGTAGTTGCGCAAGCGTAATATAAGCTGAGGAATAGTCAAAACATGTGGATAATACTTTTTTAAAGTCAACGCTTTCTGTAGTCAGTGTTTGTTGACTGAATTCAGTAGAAACAAGTATGGATGATGTGAAAATCCAAAGAAGCATCTTCGATGGTGGAATAGAAATCGCGTATTTCTGTCTGAACTATCATGTATGCTTCATTCAAATACAGCTGTTTCAGAAAWCGTTGAATACTGAATACCAGTGCATTCCAAGACCGCAGTGCAGTTAGCTGCGACTTACCTCCGACTGTACGGAGCACGGATGAACTGCTTTTGAACGGGATAGAATGGCCAACAATAATATTAAAATACYGTATCAATATTCAGTATTTTCATCCATCACCGAAATAAGAACCAACACTCTAGACGTAGAATATAGAAATACGTCAACAATAAGTTGTATTTTATTCATAAATCGTAAACTGTAGTATATTTATATTCTCATGGTTTTTGAAACCAAGCATTGTATAAGCTGGTACATAGTGCTATACATTAGAATAATAATTTTGGAATAAAAGTGTTAGAATCTGAGACTAAAAGGCTATATATACTGTCACACGAATGTCATAAAGTCCCACCCTTTCTCCCCTCCTCCTTSAACATAAAGTTAATATAGGGAAATCACGAAGTTTGGCAAGAATGGAGACGCACTTTGCCTATTTTGCAGATTTGGTCCAGTAGCCGGGTTTTACTGCAATTACATTTCCATTTCCCTGGGTTTTGGTTTTCCTGTGTATATTTAACCGAGCAGTCCTAGTAGCTAGCATTTCAAAATGGAGGACTTGCAAGAAATATTTTGTGTGTTGTTCTTGTGTCTTCATCTTGTTTCTGGCGAGGATAGTGAAACTCAAGTTGGTACTCCAAAACTAGGTAAGTGTAGGAAGRAATGTTTAAGAYTGATTTGCGTTATTATGTGTTAATAAACGGCGAATGGGAGGCAGGCGAATTCGATGACCGTTTAAGTTCTGCACCGCAAGGCACCTCGCCTGATCTCCAATTGAAAGAAATGGGTTGAACTTGCACAAATAAAATCATAAAAAATCCATTCTGGTTTAATATGTTTGCAAACAACTTGTATTTGACACTCAACAAATATTGAACCACGATCTGTGAATTTTGATTTCCTTATAAAAAAATAAGCATAAGCTTTTAACTTTCTAATCTTAAGTTAAGCTTTTGATTTTTAGTACTCCAACGGCAGTTTTTGTCAAATTTATTAATTGGTAAATTCAACACTTCCTTTTCTTACGGTATGATTAAAGTTCTCATTCAAAGTTTTCCCTGGTGCTTCAAGCTGCAGTACAGACAAACACAGGTAGCCCAAGATGATCAAATTTGAGGATAAAGCAAATTTTTCATTTCCAMATACCGTTACTCAAGAGGGAATTGTATAATGGCATTGTTCTCTTTTTCCTGTTAAAACGTAACCTGTCCTTGCAATATTTGTACTGGGTTATTTTACTYGTTAGAACCAATCTTTGATTTATTTCATGAATTGAGGTCAAATATGTAAAAGGGGAATATTAATAATAATGATAAATATGTTTAAATAGGCCTAATGAATTGTTGTCCAATTCATTTTAACTAAACCAAGACAAAAGAATGCCATTTGTTTTTGAGAAGATAATTGCTCATTGTGATAGGCTTTGGTATTGTAAATTTATAAAGAAAAGTATAGAATAGGGGTGAAGATTGTTCAAGGCCAAGTCCCCTACCCTTATTTTAAGTCCTGATACTGAGACCTTACTTCCTTTGAAAATCGAAGACCAAGACAAGACCGTGACTCAATTTGGATTTACAAAAGAAATCTGAGATTGCAAGAAAGAAAGAAAAAACATCAAAAATTTTTAACCATTTATTATGSATCCCGGATATCGAATTATGATCCATTTTAACAATAGACAATGGTATTCACCAATAAATCTTACATATCCAGTCATGTGACTTTGCTTTGGAATCCAAGCACTTTTAGTAAAACAATATGTTTATGGTCTTCTTCAACTCTGCTGATTTTGCTGAGGTACCATGGTCCATGCTCAAACTAGTTAAAGTTGACCAAAATCTCTCAACCTGGAATAAAAATGAATGACAAATCATCTATCTTAAGATATTCAGTGCTTAAGTRTTCCCAATACCTTTGTGGGTCAAAGTATAGCCTGCCCAAACCTTCCCTAGGGCTGACATTTTACAGGTGTGAAAAACGGTAACTTTTTAACCCCTCTTGGGTTGTAGGGGAAACAGTGACTATTTTGTTAGAACTTTCTCTCTGTTCCAACCTCCTCAGGTTTCTTTTTCTTGGAATATCCTGATTCATTGAATAACTTTGAATCATCTAGATGGCTAGCAATGTCTTCCTTTAATAAGAATATCTATGTTGGCATGATGGCAGTTAATTGTAAACCGCCTTGTTCTATCACTTCTATGTTTGTTATTTGTCTTTTCGTTAGATGTTCATGGCTTGCATGCTATTATGTAGTTACATAGGACTCATATTTAACGTTTCTTTACCATCCTGTATTCTGTAGAGAGATTCATCTCAAGCCATGCAATAAAGCATACGCCCTGATAGTCTTTGTTGTTCTTTTGCAGCATTAACAATAGGCATCAGTGGTACTTTGTTAGTTCTTTTCATTGGATTAGCAGTATTTGTCTACAAACCTAACAAACGCTCAAGACAGAATAGAAATGAAGAATCATCAAGCAATGTGCCAATATGAGAATAATGCAGCCTGCAACATATGCTTGCAAATCAAGTACCAGGGGATGATCAATTGATACTTTCTTTGAATGAAAAACTATTATTGACAAATAACAGAGGAACGATGACTTCTCAAGCTACACCCTTTGAACAGACAACAACATATTCACTGACATAAATGAAGTACCTGTGGACAATTTATTGACTCTTTCATTGAATTCAACTATTATTGAYGATTATAAACAGCAGAAAATGATGACTCATCAAGCTACAACCTTTGAACAGATTACAATTCTTGTGTAAATATGTGAAAGTACCAGTGAAAAAGAAAAAGCTCTTTTCAATCGAAATAAACCATGTAAATAAACCATAAGCAAAGCCAAGAAAGAAGAGAWACAACATATTATTTTTCAAGTAATATGATAAAAATCATTCAAGTATTTTTACAATAAATATTTAAATGTTATTCATTATTTCACWACTGATAATAAGCGGAATATATTAGAAAAAAAATTGAACTTCGATTGAAAACGTTAAGTGTATTTTTAGCAAATGCTTGAGGCATTTGTAGATAATTGCTTTTTTGCATTATATTTACATTCAGTATCTAACAGAACGATGTTTAGAAGAAAAAAAATCAATCCATTTGTCTTAGTGAAATTACTAAAGAAAATCATRAAGTATCTTTTTATTCATGTATTCTATGGTTTGATAATCTTTCTTGCCATTGTGTTGRCAAGAAAGGAAAATAACTCATATCTCGCGCTTTACCCAACTTTTACCGCAATTCTTCCCCGSCTGATTTGTTAATGAAATATAAATGTATTGCTTTGGTTTCATAGAAATATCAATTTATTGCATTGGTTTTCGTTCTTCGTCTTTCCTGCTTGAGTTCAGGTCGTTTCTCCCATTTTCCTTTCCTGTTCCGTCCTATTACATCTGTTTTTACCAGAAAAATACTAAAGACATCGTTTCCTGATATWATTATTTTTCATGTCCTTAAGGTATGACGACTACTAACCCCTAGTTTTCAAATTTACACTAAAACAGATTTCTTTTTATAGCCCCTATTCGAGAAGAGATGTCATTAATGTCTATGATTTCCTACACCTTTTATTAACCTCAAATAAATATTCCCACAGTGATCTAAGCGAGACGATGTTCGTCGGCTGATAAAAGCGTTCAAAGAGCCTCACAGTCACGAACATTTGAGCAAAGTTTGAGGTCTTGTGAACTGAGAATGATACCACWCCGATAAGAGATATTTCAAAAAGTTAAAATAACGAAAATGACTTTAAAGTCCCGAGGCAGTGTTACTTAGATACCAATCCTCAATACTTGGGCAATGTGTTTCTTATTTCGTTTGATTCTATGAGTGCTTACAGCGAGCGTTCTGGCAGTTTCTCCAGGTGATTGTCTTATCAATTGCAGATGTATCGCTATAAATAAATCTTGTCTGTCGCCAACGTAAACCATCTATTGTTCATAACGAGTACAAGGGCTAACAAACAACATCTGTGCTCAGCGCAACACTCTGCCAAGTTGAATGCGTCTGAAAAGTTGATGCAAAATAAAGCGATTTTCAAGCTAAATACTATAATTTCCTTGATCTSGTGTAGGTAATTGAAAAGCAAAAAGCAAATGGCAGCATCTTTTTGTTTGCAAATTCATTGTTTGTTAGTTTTTTCTTCTTTCAACATTTCAAAATTGTSATCGTTTGGCTTTTTCTAATGAAAACCCTTAATTTGTAATCTTCGTTTTGATTGCTTAACTTGCTTTGTTAGCTGGTTAGTTGACTGTAATCTTGGTTGTTTAGTCGTGTTATATGCTGGGGGGTGCACTTCTTTTCCTTCAATCGTGGTTTTCGATTGGAAATGAACGATGATGYTCCGTGTTTGTTACAAATGATATAGCGTAAACAGAGGGATAAAGTCGAAGGAGTTTCAGTGTTTTCTTCGTTTTCTCTACTCTTCYTTTGACAACATCTCCTATATATTCTTAATACTAATTGTGTCAACTCATTGTACAAGACAGGATAGTGTGAACTATGAAAAAAACGATTAAAGATTGTTTTCAACCATATGTTTTTTATTAGTTAAGGTCAGAAGAGAGACTGATGAATTTATTGGCCAACGCCCGACTTATAATTCAACATTTTTGCAGATATTCAAAGAGGAAAACCTAAACAAATGTTCAAGATATGTTACCATGTCGATCGTTGCTTTCCTTGAATCGGTGCCGGTTGCAGGGGGTGTCAATTGGTGCACCCCCTGTTGTGATAAGAGTATAAGGAGTGCAAATACCCACTTTTAGGACCCTGTTATTTCTTCATATGAGAACATCCCTAATAAGGTCCCCCCAACGAATTTCTGGATCCACCAGTTAAAGTCGATATTGACAAATCATTTACTTAAGAGGGACATGGATCTCTTTCTTGATACGGCCTTTACTAGCTAAATATTAGTTGATTAATCCGGCAGCTAAATTAAATAATGTGTTTGGAAGACTTATAAAGCAGTTTCTCCTGTTAACTCATCATTGCGCACTTATGACCTTTTCTGATGTAGAAAAAATCATGATGCATTGTGRTCCAGAAGAAACAACATATTTGGCMTCATAAACAAAAGATGTACTGAACTTAGTCCACAATGCAATGCGTAATGCTGTTTCAAAGAAGCCCGATGCGAGTTTTTCACATCGCATACACACCACACCACACCACACCACACCACACCACACCACACCACACCACACCACACCACACCACACCACACCACACCACACCACACCACACGTTGGTCGTTGACAACAGTTGTATAGTTTGAAATTGGTCAGTCATTGATAACAATTGCATGCAAATACTATGCACTGTAACAATGAAGTCAGCAAATATCGACTTCAAAGCCACGTGACACGTGACGTGTCTTATTTTTTTGATTTCAAAATCTTGTTTGCTTTACAGATAATATGCACTGTCACAATGAAGTCAGCCAAATGG